GTTGTATTTGCAAAGACTTCTATTGAAGGGCTTATACTTTTATTTGTTGTTGTTGTTAAATGCCATCTAGTTGGTTCTGACTCATAGCAACCCTGTATAGCATTTCCAAGGAGCAGTTGGTGGGCTCATCATCCGCTCCTCAGAAACCATATACAGGGTTTCGCTATGGGTCGGAGCCAACTGGACAACACTTAACAACAGATACATATATACATAATATATAGTAACATACTCTTCCTTTGTCTTAGCCTGTTATTTTAAATCCAAATGCAAGGATAGTCAATCACCTTGGAAAGACTCCAGAGATTGGCAGACAGACAGAATGAGGCTGGCAGGCATCCCAGTTCAGCTGTATACTTCCATGTGACCTAGGCCACATTTATTATTGATTAGTAAAATGGAGATCATACAGGTGGAGTAGTACCTCAAGCAAGGTTTAGTTATAATGTAAGTACAGATGGTGCTGAACATCATATCTAATCAAACTTCCTTTTATTTGCCTAAGCACCAGATTAAGTTGTTTTTAGTTGCCATGGAATTGATTATGACTCATGGCATCCTCAGGTATGTAGTGTAGAATCTAAAGGTTATGTGACCTTTTGGAAGCAAATTGCTAGGCCTGACTTCCAAGGCATATCATTGCTGTGTTCAAATTGCCAACCTTGCAGTTTGTAGTTTAGTGCTTAACCAATTGCACCACCCACATTAAATACTATGTGTTCATGTAGGGCATGGGCAGGAAACCTTTTTTCTGCCAAAATTTATAAAATCATTCATGGGCTACACTAAATTATCAACTTAAAACTATTAGCCTGCTAATATTTGGTCAAACGTTTAATTAACTTACGCCTAATGTGCTGGCTGTGGAGTCGTGGTTGGCACTCTAGGATATGCACTGGACTGCAAGTTTGGTTTAAATTGCAAGGTTGGCAGTTAAAATCCACCAGCCACTCCTTGGAAACCCTATTTAGGGTTGTTAGGAGTTGGAACCAACTCAATAGCACAAAATAACAATGTGATGGCTAGAACTGAAACTGCCTTGGCAGGGCCAGACCTAAGGGGTGGATGGATGTTCCCTACCCCTGATGCAGGGGATGGATGGTTACTTAACTTGATTACTGAACTCACATTCCATGATGTGAAATGCTCACACTTCACATGAGGACTCAGACTGCCTGGCGGACTGTAGAATTATGTTTTACTCTTCATATAATAAATATTTACTGTTCAAAGTGTATTTTGTCATGTAATTGGATATGTGATATAATTCCGTTGTATAATCTTTATTGTAAGCGTATATTTCACAGTGTATCTTTTGAGCCATCTTTGTATGAAGCTCACCTCTCTTCCCTATTTGATGTTTTAAAAGAACTACACACAGCACCTTTGTTATCATTTCCTTTTATTTTTCCATGCTCACTTTCCACTAGTCTCATTTCTTATTATTCTAAAATGTAGACACTCAACTGTAATAATGAAATCTGTGGTTTACCAGGCAGTGTGCCACATGTTTTATAAAACATCTCATCTAGTGTTCGCAATAACCCTTGGAGGTCAGTGCCACTGTTTTCTACAAAGACAGTACCAATTTGTTAGGGTTATGCAGGTAACCTTAATGGAATGGAACTAGAAAACTTCCCTGCAAGTTCCCATGGATCTCCCACTAGAGAAAGCAGGTGTGATAGAAAACATGTGTCTCTTGTTAAGCTCTCCTCACTGCCTAACCCAGTACTTGGCCAATTAGTAATTGCTGAATACACCATGGCTTCAAAAAGTTTGTGGAGAAATGGAATGAACAGATAATGGAATTCTTCCATAATTTTTTTGAAGCATCCTTTGTGTGAGGCCTTTCACCTCTCTCTATGGCCCTCCTTAACTTTCTAACTTTGCACACTTAACACTCAGCTTGTGCACATACCACTTGGTAAATACTTGTGAAAGTTTTGATCATTGAGAGCAGGAACTTTGTCTTTTTAACCATCTTGTCTCTAGTGCCTAAAATAGTAATTGCCATGTACCATCACCAAACCAGTTTGTATAGACTTAATTCCCAACTCGGGGCAAGTCCTCATAAGTAGAATTGTGTGCCATAGGGTTTTCCCTAGCTCTGAACCTTTCAGAAGTATGTCACCAGGCCCTTTTCTGAGGCACTTGTGGGTGGATTTGAACTACAAATCTTTCTGTTAGCAGCTGACTGCTTAACCATTTGTGTCAGCTAAGGACCCCTAACTGGCACATTGTTGTTGTTATGTGCTATGGAGTCTGTTCCGACTCACAGAGACCCTACCCTGTACAGGGTTTCCGAGGCTGTAAATCTTTAAGGGAGCAGAAAGCCTAGTAAGAGATTAATAATTTGATTACATAAGTTAGGGGACGAATGAATTTAACTCTTCAGATGAAACACTTGAGACTTCTTCCTTGATTTAACACCTTTCTTTAACTTCCTTCTTCCTATTGTCTACTTATTTCTATTACTTTATGAAATGAGTTATTTAAAATGCACTTTGTAATGTTAATACCAACAACAGTTGATAATAAGCCCTTCAAGGCCTACGACAGCGACAGCCTCTGCCTTTCCAATTTTGGGTTGTTTTTTTTCCCATTACTGTACCTTCTGTAGTTAGTATGTTGTTTTGTGAGAAGACATCCCTATTAACTGTTCTGACTGCAATGGATGAATTGGTCTGTTGGTATCCTAGCAACCACAGTTGAATCTTTTTGTCTTAGTAAAAGATGTTAATGACCCTTACCCTCAGGCCCTTCTCCACTTGCAGAAAGAATAATGGTCAGAAACAGGTCTTTTAAAATGAGAGTAATTTTTGCCATCAAGCAAAATACTAGAGAAAAGAACCTGCTGACTTTTAATAGTTTTCATACTGCCATTCTTTAACAAAAGTAGAATTTAGATAAACTAAATGATTCTGTGAAAAACTGAGTCATTTTGATCATGAAAAACCTCTCTGGCAAGAGAGGAAAAAGAGAAAAAGTATGTACCACATACATTCCAAGTCAGAATGTGACTCAGTAATGGGAAATCTTTGTATAATACTTCTAAATGAATGTGTAATTAGGCAATTTACTTTCTAAATGAGATTTATAGAGATTTGTTTGCATTTTCCACAGCAGCAATTTAAAACACACTTTAGCTCCATAGTTTTTCATCAGTGAATTTTTGTTGTGGGTAGAAATATTTAAAATAGATTTTTAAAAGATTCCCATGTTTATTTCCCCAATTTGAAGTATTTTTGTTGAGGTGTTTTTACATACATAGATACTTTTCTTTTTGAACGATTTTGGTAATAGCCCACAAGAAAAAGTTAAATTTCAAGTTATATTTGTATCTTAATAAAATTTCCTAATTATGTTTTTTTTTCCAGTCTATAAGGACATGTAACAGTTGCCATACAATTTTTATTCATATGGTTCACATGAGTTAAAAGCAAATTGGAAAATAATTATTAAAGAAAGACTGATAACTTTGTATTGTTATGTTTAAAAAATATTTTGAACTATAGACCATGAAATTAAATGTTATTTGATTGATACATGTTCATGTTGTTTAATAAGCTGATAAAAATACAATTACAATACCGCTGTATCTACAATCTTAATTCTTTGCTTCCCACTAGTTAAATTGCTAAAATATTTAGTTAATTTTCCTTCAAAGAAATCACAGTGTGTAGCGAAAAGATAAGGTATACTAAATGCAGTGTTGGACAGCATGTTGTTAGTTAAGCAATTTGAAAAATGAATATTAGAAAATAATCCCCCATGGGGGTAGGACTATAAAATAGTAAAATAGTAGGCAGACCTAGGTTTCAGAGACAGACTGGAAAATAATTTTCTTTTGTTCATTTACAGTCCTTTAACAGAATTTTTATGGGCTCAAATGAGTGATTAGATTTTCAACTTTTATTTATTTTTTTGGGTAAAGTTAAGACAGTTTTGTGCATAGCATTATATCACAAGTTGAAATGTAATAGTTTATCATTATTCTAAATGGTTGTGAAAAAGAAAAAAAATACTAGGAGATCATACTATAATATTATTTTAAAACCTCTGTTCATATATTTTAACTATATTTGTTGTTGTTAAAGTGCTGTCAA